GAAGCCCCCTATGGAGAGATGTTGCAGGCAAAGAAGCCCAAACAGCAGCAGTCTTTTTTCTGGTAGAGTGGCTGGCTGGTTAGTTCAGTTGGTTAAAGCACAGCCTTGTAAACCAAGGTTAAGGGTTTGGTTCCCTGTACTGGCCAGTCTCAAAAAAAAAAAAAAAAAAAAATACCTTTTTCATTTTGTGCTGTGGGATTTTGCTCCCCAGGGGTCTTTGTCTCAACAAACAGCACTTTACCCTTGCTCAGGCCAGAAACCTGGGGGTCACCTTCAACCCATGTCCTGTCTCTCACCCACTCAGGTTTCCTCACACATCGTATGGGCTCTTCTTTCACAATCCATCTGCAGTGCAGCCCTTATCCCTGCCTCCACCACCTGCCCACGTCATCGCCATCTCTTACCTGGATTACTGCAGTCACCTCCCACCTGGTCTTCCCGCAGTGGCCCTGGTGCCAGACGGTATCTTCACACAGCAGCCAAAGGGATCCTACTAGTACATGCATCACAGCAGGCCATTCCTCTGGGGAGACCTCTTGTGACCCAAGTCCCTTTCACAGTGGGAGCCACCGACCCCCATGGCCTGTGAGGCTCTGAGGCTCTGGCCTCCCCTCCTCCCTTGCTGCAGTCTGAGCAGCCACCTCACTGTTCCTCAAGTGTGGGGGTGCCAGCCCCACAGCTGCGGGCACCCTCCCGCACCCTTCAGGTCTTTGCCTAAAGGTCGTCTTCTCAGCAGGGCCTCCCTGGACCACTGTATTATAAGCATCTGTTGCTTACAACACAATACCTGGAATGGGGTGATTTAAAAGAAAATGAAATGTATTGCTCATAGTTTCAGAGGCTGAAGTCCAAAGTCCAGGGGACACATCTGGTGAAGGTTTCCTTTGGTGGTGACTTCAGTAATGGCAGGGTATCACATTGTGAAAATGCTGGAGCAGAGAGAGAGAGAAAGCAAGACAGACTCTCTTCTGTCTTCTTTTAAAGCCCTCAGAACTACACCTCTGACCACCATTATTAATCCATTCACTACTGCAGGTCCTATGATCTAATCACCTCTTCAAGGCCCCACCTTTCAATTACCATCATAGGATTTCCCACCCTCTTTACAGTCACAGTGAGGGTCAAATTTCTGATACATAAAACCTGGGGGACACAAATCAAGCCTCAGTGAGTTTTGGGGGTACGCAATTCAATCCACTACAACCATTCTACTTAAAATTGCCACCCACCCTCACCTCACCCCCCCCTTCCCACACGAGTTTTCTCCATCGCTCCAGCATCTGACGTACTGTGCACAGTCACTTACCAGGCAGACTGTCCATATCTCCCAGTGAGACTGAGCTCCACAGGGCAGGTTTCGTCATCTTCTGTT